TGTGTCCCTTTCACGTCGATGTTTCTCTTTCTCTCTCCCTCTCTCTCCCTCCCACTCTATCTGAACAAAAAATGGAAAAATGTCCTCCGGTGAGGATAAAAAAAAAAGAAGAAGAAAGAAAAGAAAAGCCCTGCCCCCCTTCTAACAGCTCTGAACTCAGGGCCCACTCACTACTTCTCTCCGCACTTACAGAAGAGACCCCTGAGGCCCAACAGGGAACCTACTCTCCAGAGACCCTAAAGCCAAAAAAATGACGGTCTGGGTGCAAACCCAGCTCTGGCCTGACTCCAAATTCCCGTGCAGCATCCCTAAAATGCACCTGGGCGGGTGATTGCCGTAGGAGTTCTGGGCTCCCTCCAGCTGGGGAACCCCACACTTGCACACAGGACCAGGTAAAAAATTTGTGGGTGTCCAGTGCAAAGTAAAAATGTGGGGCTTTTTAAAATTTTTCTATTGATTTTAGAGAGAGGAGGGGGAGAGAGAGAGAAACATCGATTTGTTGTTGTTTCACTTATTGATGCATTGATTGGCTGATTTTTTTTTTTTTTTTTTTTTTTTGGTACGTGCCCCTAGTGGGAATCGAACCCAGGACTCTCTGGTCCGCAGGCCAATGCTCCAACCGCTGAGCCAAACTGGCCAGGGCTTGGTTGATTCTTGTATGTGCCTTGATCAATGATCGAACCCACAACCTTGGTGCACGGGTATGATACTCTAGTCCACAGAGCTACCCGGCCAGGGCAAAATGTGGGGTTTCCTAATTTAAAAAACAACAAAAGAACAGATAAAAAGCTTTCTCCTTCTCCCCTCTCTGTCTCTACCCCATCTGTCTCTGTCTCTCTCTCTGTATGTGTTGCACGTGTGGCTCTCCCGGGCAGACCCTCAAGGGGGTGGGAGATGGAGGCACCAGCCAGAGGGCAGAAGGCCAGGAACCCGGCCACCAGAACCTACAGGGAGGCTGGACTTTGCAGGCCCCAGGAACCTGGAGCACACTTCATTGTCTCATTGACTTTGCGTACAAAACACAAAATCAGAAGTCCGGCCCTGGTCACTTTGGCTCAGCGGTTAGAGCGTCAGCCCGTGGACCAGAGAGTCCCAGGTTCTGTTCCCGCTAAGGGCACGTATCTCGGTTGCAATTTGTCCCTGGCCCCCCGGTTGGGGTTGTATGGTTGGCAACCAGTCGATGTATCTCTCTCATGTCGATGTGTCTCTCTCTCTTCCTTCCTCTCTCCCTCCCGCTCTATCTGAGGATACATGCAAAAATGTCTGCCCTGGCCGGTTTGGCTCAGCGGTTAGAGCGTCCGCCTGCGGTCCGGAGAGACCTGGGTTCGGTTCCCGCTAAGGGCATGTACCTCGGTTGCAGTTGTTCTCGGCCCTGGTTGGTCGTGCGGGTGGCAGCCACTCGATGTGTCCCTTTCACATCGATGTTTCCCTCTCTCTCTCTTCCTCTCTCTCCCCCCCACTCTGTCTGTACAAAAAATGGAAAAATGTCCTCGAATGAGGATAAAAAAAAAAATGTCCTCGGGTGAGGATTACAAATAAAAAGTCAGCAGGACAGCCACGGACCCTGCAGAGCGTAAACCCGCAGGGGCACCCAGCACAGCCTGCTGCGGGGAAGCGTTTCCCGGGGCCCGGGGGCGCCGGCTGGGCCAGGCCTCCGTACACACTGCCTTTGTTCAGTGTTACACACGTGACATCAGCAGCGGCCCACGACCTGCCCGCCCATGTCATTCAAACACAGAACCTGATCCAGGGGGTCTGGAGACAGAGGGGCACCCAAAGTTCTGCTTTTCAGACCAGCTCGGGGTGAGACCCTTGTTTCTGGCCCCCGGGTCTGTGAGGACATGGTGTTGGAGCTCTGAGCCCACATCCTGGCTAAACCGTCAGCAACACCCAACCGTGAGCCCTCCGGGTCCCTTCTACGGAGACAGTCACATCGCCGTGGGCAGTGACAGGTGTGGGTCGTCCTTCCCACTCTGGTCCTGCTGAATTCAGGGAGCACCCTCGCTCCGCCTTTGCCGAGAGCCAGAGCGTGTGTGTCTATACACTGGGAATGTTTTTCTGCATCTGTCCAGCTAGCCGGGGCCTCTGCGGCTACTGTTCTCAGCTTGTTGCAAGCTGGCGGGCACGGCATCGGGCTCAGCTGTCCCCTGGGAGGTGTCCAGGGTCAGGGCCAACAGTAGGTGGGGGCTGGCCACCCGTCCTGGCCTTGGGCCCTGGGGCCAGATGTTTGGGCTTAGCTGCCTGGCCAAACAGGGATAGAGTGACCAGATAATTAAGCACCCACTTCTGCAGGGCTGGCAGAGGGTGGCAGGGGGTGGAGGAACCTTGGGCCAGGCAGCCTCTACAACCCTGGTTTGTGGAGAAGGGCCGGGAGCCTGCACCCCCAGCTGGGCTCTCTGGGGTGACCAGGAGCCAGGGTCCACCTGCACCCCTCTGGAAACAGGAAAGGAGACCTTTGGCTTGCCCGCTGGGGCACCATCCTCCGAGCCCCCGAGAACGGAGGAGGGCAAGGGGAATGCGGGCAGAAGCCGTCCCCTCAGCCCCTCCCAGGTCAGCGGTTATTTAAGTCTCAGGCTTAATGAGGACGAGGAAAGAGGAGTCCTCTGTGTGCTCCTTTGCCTGTTGGCGGGGGCAACGGTCCATCTATCAGGACCCCCAGACATTATTACCCCCCCCAGCGAGTAACTGGACCCCGCTGGCCTTTGCAGGACTGCGGGGGCGCCAGCTCCCTGACCTTCCAAGACCTGTGAGCCAGGCGCGGACCAGAGATTGGAGAAAGAGGGAACCAGTTCCTGCCTGAGGCTGCAGGAGCCAGCGCAGAGTTGGGGTTCTCCTAAGCCAGTCCCCAGGATACAAACTGAGGCCCAGGGAGGGAAGGGGCGTGCCGGGAGAGAGCCTGTCATAGGAGTCCATCCCTGAACCCCCCCAGGCCAAAGTCAAAGCAGGGAATCCACATCCCCCCATTCTGGGGCCGAATTCGGGCTCCGCTGTGTGGCCTGAGCCCTCCCAGTTTTCTTCTGAAAGGGGAACCAAGCCCCTCCCTCCCCCGAAGGGCTGTGGGGAGGACCAGGGGTACTGAGAGCCCACACCGCATCCGGCACAGAGGAGCACGGCCAGGCGTGGGCACAATCACCCTGGTTAACTGAGCACACGTTACATGGGGAGCCCTGTACTTCCTGCACTAGCTCATCCAATCCACGCAACCACCTCAGGCAGCCGGGACTAGTGTCGCCCCATTTTATAGGGGGAGAAACTGAGGCCCAGAGAAAGTCAAAGAACCGCTAGAGTCCCACAGCCTGGACACAGCCTTGAACCCAGGATAGTTGGACTTGGCTACGAACTATCTTATGAGCGATGGCCCCGGGGTCAGACCAGCCTGGGTACCAATGTCCCCTGTGACCTGAGCTGGGTCATGGGGATACACACAATCATACTATCACATGAGGAGCGAGTATCAAGAGCCAGCCCTGGGCTACGCCTTCTTGCACGTAGATTAACTCATCACTTCCTCATCACAGTAACCCAAGGTTATCATCCCCTTTTATAGTTGGGGAAGCTCAGACCAAGAAGTTCAGTAACCAGCTCAGGTGCACATCTACAAGGTCTCAGATTCAGGCACTCAGCCTCCCAAATTCACACCTCTCTGCTGAGCGGTGGGAACAGTATGCTCCTCAGCAAATGTCCGTGAAGATAAAATGCTGTCACATGTCCTGGCCAGGTGGCTCAGTTGGTTGGAGCATCATCTCATGTACTGGAGGGGCAGGGACTCAATTCCTGGTCAGGATACATACCTAGGTTGTGGGTTCGATCCCTGGTCAGGGTGCGTACGGGAGGCAACTGATTGATGTATTGCTCTCACATGGGCATTTCTCTCTCTCTCTCTACCTTCCTTCCTCTCTAAAAAAATATACATAAAATGACTTCATACATGCAAAGCCCTGAAAACAGAGCCTGACCCATTGGAAGTGCCTGATGAATATTAGTCATTTTGTTATTATTATACACTCAGGCATTCAACAGACCCTTATGGGGTGTGCCTGAGTTGTGTCAGACTCTTTTCTTGTTTCCATCTGTCAACAAGACAAAGATTTCTGCCCTGGTGGGCTTCATCAACACCATTGTCGCTATCATCATGACCATCTTCATCAACATCACTAGTACCATCATGGCCATCACCACCATGATCATCTTCATCTCCAACACTGGCATCATCGTCACCGTCAGCACCATCACCGCCACCGTGATCATCTTCATATACATCATTTCTATCATCTCCACCATCAACACCACCATAATCATCTTCATCACCATCATTACCACCATCACCATGATCATCTGCATGACCATCACCTCCATCACTGTCATCATTGTCACCATCATCACCATCATCAGCAATCATCATGACCATCATCACTATGATCATCTTCACCACCATCATCTCTATCACAATCATCACCACCATCACCACCACCATTACCACTATCATCATTATCACCATCATCACCACTATAATCATCTTCATCACCATCATCTTCACCACCACCATCACCACCATTACCACCACCATCATCATCACCATCATCACCACTGTAATCATCTTCAACACCATCATCTTCACCACCACTATCACCATGATTATCTCCATCACCATCATCACCACTATTACCACCATCATCTCCATCACCATCACCATCATTACTATCACCATCATCTCCACCACTATCATCACCACCATTATTAACACCAAGATCATCACCACCACCATCATCACCATCATGTTCATCACCATCATCACTACCATCAACCTCCCTGTCATCATCTCCACTGTCAGGATCATCATCACCATGCTCATCACCATCATCGCCATCATCCTCACAACTTGCACGGTACCTGTGATATTCACAAACAGATCAATCTTGTGATTCCATCTCTCCAGGGCTCCTCTAGTCCCCCAGAAATGTCATCCACATCTTGTTTTTAATTGGATACTTTGGTTTTCCTTTTTTGGTTGGGAGTGTCTTAAACCTCTCATGTCCCACAGAGGGTCACACGTCTCCCCTCAGAGGCCTCTCTTCCTCCTCTGGGGTGGTGGTGGTTGGTGCAGGTGTGCTGGGGGGCCAGGCCATCTCTGCCAGTCTCTTCACAACCTCACCCAGCTGCCCCAGACCCTGAGCAGCCTCCACTAGCTGGGTCAGCCCCAGTCCCAGGGCTTGGCGCTCCCGCTGGTCCCGCTCCAGGGCCTGGGTCAGCCTCTGCAACTGGCTACCCACGTCCCTCACAGCCGCCACCAGCTCTACCAGGGCAGGTGGCTCACAAGCCATGACCCTTACAGGTGGCAGTGGAGCCACACATGGGCCAAGGGGGCCTGGGTTCTGACCAGGGATTGGCCCTATGGTGAGATTGTCAGGAGGGGGTTGATCTAACGGGTGGGCCTTGGGGGACAGGTGGAGGTCAGGGGTTGTAGTGGGGTCAGAGACTGAGTGTGAGGTCTGAGGAGGTGAAGGGGTTAGTTTGTGGCTCTGGCTTCTGGGTGGTTTAAAGTCCTCAGTGGATGGTGTGTCCATGCTTGAGGCTGGAGAGGGCCTGGAGGTGTTGGACTCTGAGGCTGCGGAGGGCTCTAAGCTGGACATATGGGATGTGGAGGGGTGAGGGGCCCCAATGAAGGTGAACTGGGGGTGCAGGCTGGGCTTGACTGTTGGTGCTGGAGTAGGAAAGGGAAGTTCTGTTTTCAAGGAAGTTAAAAGAGACTTAGTAGTGATCACAGGGATTGAGGTGGGGTCAGGAGTCAAGGTGGGGTGAGTGGTGGGGGTAGAGTGAGAGGTCATGGTGGTGTCAGGGGTCGTGACAGGGTAAGGGATTGTGATGGGATTAGAGGTTGTGGGTTGAGCTGTTGTGGTGGGATAAGGGGTGGTGGTGGGGAAAGGGGTCGTGGCTGGGTGAGAAGCTGTGGCTGGGCGAGGGACTGTGGTTGGGTGAGGGGTCGTGGTGGGGTCAGGGGTCATGGTGGGGTCAGGGGTTGTGGTGGGGTCAGGGGTCGTGGTAGGGTGAGGGGTCGTGGTAGGGTGAGGGGTCGGGTGAGGGGTTGTGGTGAGGTGAGGTGTAGTGGTAGTGTTAAGGGTCTTGGTGGGGTGAGAGGTCACTGTGGAGGGAGGGGTGGTGGTGGGAGGAGGGCTTATGGAGTGGTCTGGGGATCCAAAAGGTTCTGGGACTGTTTTGGGGGATGGAGTTGTGTCCCAGGCTGGGGCTGTGTCCGATTCCGGGGTCATCTCTGAGGTAGGGGAAAGGTGAGTCACCACTGCTGGAGCCGAGGGGTCAGAGGTCAGTTCTTTGGGCAAGGTGGGAGGTGAGGTCGATGAAAGCCCAGGGGTCAGCGCCGGAACCGCGGTGGCATCCAGGGTGGACAAAGGAAGGCCAGGGGTTGTCAAGGTGAGGCCAGAGTTCTTCCAAGATGCAGGGTCTGGGCTGGGTGGCCAAGTGTCAAGAGGGTGAGAGGTCACCTCCACCGAAGGTGAAGCTGCGTCGGAGATGAGCTGTGGTCCTGAGGGGGAGGTGGGTGGCGGGCCTGGGGAAGGGCTGGGGGGCGCCGTCCTGGCCGCCGTGGGCTGCAGCAGCCGGCGCTCCTGCCAAGGTTTCCTCCCAGAACCTGCAGGAGGAAAGATGGACAGCTGAGGTCAGTCTGCCCCGCCCACACCACGGCCCATCCGCCCAGGGGTAGGACGACCAATCGGAAGGTGCCGAGCCTTGTGATGTCATCGGTCGCCGGCAGACTTCACCCCGCCCCATTGCCTCCAACCACGTCCCGCCTCCTCCGATTTCTCCAGGCGCCACCTGGCGGCCTCCACTACAGGAGGCCTGGAGGCCGCCGGGGTGTGCGGGTGCGGGGTGGCCGCGTTCATGGAGGGGACGGGATGCGGGAGCCAGCAGAAACGTGGGGAGGATGCAATGAAGGATGTGTGGGAGCGTGCGGGAAGAGAGTTGGGGAATATGGGGTGTGAAGGGGTACAGGGCAGGACAGAGGGGCGAATGAAGGGGGAGGGGTGTGAGAGCTGATGCTGCAGGGTGCAGAAGTTGGAGTGGTGCAGGAGGGTTGGGAGGGGTCATCGGTAATCAGGATCAATCTTTTTACGCCATATTTTAAAACAATCAAAAATAATGCAAAATATCCACGATGCACAAAAAGTCAAAAATTCATCCCCAACAAGACCTGACCAAGCCGAGATTAGGGGCAGTATGGTGAGGTAGGTCGGGTCCTGTCTTTATTTAAAAATTCGATATTTAGTTCACGGTGGGTTTTTGTTTGTATCCATTTTGATGTGTAAAACCATTGTATTAAGATTTTATTTATCTTCATTACTGAGGGTTTAGGCGCCCCCTTAATTGGGGGCCCGAATGAGAAGACTTATTCTCTTCCAGGTTGGACATTTTCCTGGTCACTAAAAGGTTGCTGGTGGGCCCTGGCCAGTTTGGCTAAGTGATTAGAGCGTCAGCCTGCGGTCCGGAGAGACCGGGGTTCGGTTCCCGCTAAGGGCACATACTTCGGTTGCAGTTTGTCCCCAGCCCTGGTTGGTCGTGCGGGTGGCAACCACTCGATGTGTCCCTTCACGTCGATGTTTCTCTCTCTCTCTCCCTCCCACTCTATCTGTACAAAAAATGGAAAAAATCCTCGGGTGAGGATAAAAAAGGTTGCTGGTGGAGTACTGGATTTTGGTCAGGTAGGGGACATGTGGGAGGCGGCTGAATCTGTGTTGCGCTCTCACGTGGATGTTCCCCCACCCCACTTTCCCTTCCTCTCTCTAAAAATCAATAAACTTTTTTTTATTTTATCCTCACCCAAGGACATTTTTGCATTTATCTTCAGATAGAGCGGGAGGGAGAAAGAGAAACATCATCGTGAAAGGGACACATCGAGTGGTTGCCACCCACATGACCCAACCAGGGCCGGGGACAAACTGCAACTGAGGTACGTGCCCTTAGCGGGAACCGAACCCAGGTCTCTCTGGACCGCAGGCTGACGCTCTAACCGCTGAGCCAAACCGGCCAGGGCAGGGCTTAACTTTTTTTAAGGCCTTTTTACAGATGAGGGAAATCAGGCCAAGAAGGTATGTAACTTGCCTGGAGTCACTCACACACACAGATTGCAAATTGCAGGGACAAGATTTGAACCTAGGTCCTTTGTACCCAGAGTCTAGACCAGTAAATATCACTTTCTCCGTGATGGGAGTGTTCTGCATGGTCCCGCGTGGTCCTGAGCACTTCAAATGGCGTTAGTTCCACCAAGAAACTGAGTGTTTCCTTGTTTCCATTTTTGATTCATTTAAGTTTAAATCACCACCTGTGTCGGAAGCGCTAAGGAATTCCACACAGCCCATCCCCCTGCCATCTGTCTGCAGGGTTGGAAGAGCAGTTGAGTGAGGGGCTTGGCCTCCAGCCAGGCTGCCTGGGTTTAAACCCCAGCTCTTCAGTTTCCCTGCTGGGTGACTGGGCAAACGAAGTACTGACAATAGTGCCTGATACATAACATATTGCTCAATAAGCATGAACTGTTTGTAATTATTTCTAGAATCTCAGCTTTCTTAGATATTGTCAGGGCTCAGATACTTAGAATGGTATTGATTTTTTTTATTCTCACCCGAGGACATTTTTCCATTTTTTATTCAGATAGAGCGGGAGGGAGAGAGAGGAAGAGGGAGAGAAACATCGACGTGAAAGGGACACATCGAGTGACTGCCACCCGCATGACCCAACCAGGGTTGGGGACAAACTGTAACTGAAGTACACGCTCTTAGCAGGAACCGAACCCGGGTCTCCCTGGACCGCAGGCCGACGCTCTAACTGCTGAGCCAAACCGGCCAGGGCTGATTTTTATTTTTTTAATCCTCACCCGAGGACATGTTTTTATTGATTTTAGAGAGAGAGGAAGAGAGAGAGAAACATCGATGTGAGAGAGAAATATGGATCAGCTGTGTTTGTTAGTACATGTGTATTTTTGTGTTTGTGGATCTGCAAATAACATTCTGTGAGAAATCTCATTCTGTTTCTGACTTTTCCCCTCCATGTTATGTTGTTAATCCCTGTCCATGTTGCTGTATATACAGCTCGTCACTGCTTTACTATTGCATAGACTTCCATCACACACTTGTCACATTTCTCTTATCCCTTCCCCTACTGTTGGACACCTAGCTTGCTTCCAACTCCCCGATGTCACAGTATTGCAAAGAACATGCTCATATATGTTTCCTAGTAAATCCGTGCAAGCATTTCTCTGGAATAGGATTGCCGAGTCACAGTTCACTGTCGTATTTAACTTCACTAAATACTGCTAGAGTTTTATCAAAGAGCTCTATCCAGTGGGGATACCTGTCTCCCCACATCCTCACCCACACATGGTATTATTCTCTGTACTTTTTCCTGTTCGTCATTGTTTTCATTCGAATCATCTGATTCTTCCTGAGTGTGAGCTTTTCTGCACATTCTCCTTGGCCATTTGGGCTTCCCCTTCGGTGAATATCCTGTTCATTACACTGGTCTTTTTCCTTTTTATTTTTTATCCTCACCCTGAATTTTGTTTAGATAGAGTGGGAGGGAGAAAGAGAGAGAGAAACATCGACGTGAAAGGAACACATCGAGCCCTGGCCGGTTTGGCTCAGCGGTTGGAGTGTCGGCCTGCAGTACAGAGAGACCCGGGTTCGGTTCCCGCTAAGGGCACGTACCTCGGTTGCAGTTTGTCCCCGGCCCTGGTTGGTCGTGCGGGTGGCAGCCACTCGATATGTCCCTTCACATCGATGTTTCTCTCTCTCTCTCTTCCTCTCTCTCCCTCCCGTTCTATCTGAACAAAAAATGGAAAAATGTCCTCGGGTGAGGATCAAAAACAAAAACAAAAAAAAGGAACACATCGAGTGGTTGCCACCCACACGACCCAACCAGGGCCGGGGACAAACTGCAACCGAGGTACGTGCCCTTAGTGGGAACCGAACCCGGGTCTCTCCAGACCGCAGGCTAACGCTCTAACCGCTGAGCCAAACTGGCCAGGGCCACTTGTCCGTTTTCTTACAGAGTTTCCTACCGTTTTCTCATTGACTTGTCCCAGGGTGTCTGTACTTTGGCACCACAGACATTTGGGACTGGATGATGACCTGTGATGTTACACAACATCCCTCCTCACCCCACCCTGACTAGGCTCCCAGTCATGACCATCCAAACCATCCTCAGAGATGGCCAATGGCCCCCTACGGCTGCAGGTAGTAACCCCTTATTTTAGGATACATTTCTGTTGGGTCTTTCTGGGGTAAGAGTTGGGTCACTGTTGGGGAATTTGGGGTGCATTTCTCTACCCCGCCACACAGACATCTTCGCCCCAGCAGCCGCATGCCTCACCTGTGTCTCCACGAGCCCTTGGAGCTGGCGAGAGATGGCTTGGGCTCCTGGTGGAGCCAGTGGTTAGACTGGGTCCAGGTACACCCGTGGCGGGGGTCCTCTGGGCCGAGGCTCCTCTTGAGGTTGTGTCCCATGTCCAGGAAGGCTTGGGACCATCCTCACCACCTGGAGAGAGATGGGAGAACTGAGTGTCCTTGACCCTCTGCTCCCCCTGGGCCCCAGCCAGGCCTCCTGGCCCATCACCCAGGTCTCCTCTCTGACCTTGCAGCCACCTGGGTGACTCACTGGGGATGTTCTCAGCTTCCAACAACAGAAATTGGGACTAAACAAGCTCATTCTTGAATTCCTCCCCACTCAAAACACCCCTATAATATATTTATTACTAAACTACCTGGAATAGTTCCATAGTATCATTTTCCCTGTTTTCTGGCTGAATACACTTGGACAATCTCTACCTGACAACTTTGTGTAACATATACATTTATAATATACTACATACATATACACACACCACTTTTATTTGTTTATTTAAATCCTTACCCAAGGATATGTTTATTGATTAGGGGAGAGAGAGAGAGAGAGACAAACTTTGATATGAGATAGAAACACTGACCAGCTGCCTCCTGCATGCCCCCTACCAGGGATCAAACCCACAACCGGGGCAGGTGCCCTGACTGGGAATCGAACCCACAGCCTTTCGGTGCACAGGACTACACCCAGCCAACTGAGCCACCCAGCAAGGGCTTATTAACTGTCCTTAATGAAATGCCTGTCCCGTGTCTGTTAAAGACCGGAAGGGGATGACTATGAAACGCTACCTGATGGCCATACTCATGAGGATTTTTTTTAAACCATGAGTGGGACTATTAATGAAAAAATAAAAAGTGAGGACAAGTTTAGGGGGGAAAAACCTATTGGTGATGAATCACTAAAGATTTCTTTCCAAGCTGCTGGGTTTGAGGACACAGATTAAAGTGATCTTCCCAAGCATGCTTCTGCCCTTAACCGGACGCAGGACTCCCTGACGCCACATGGCTTCTCCACGCTTCGGCCTCCTAAATGGATTTAAGACCGTGCACTTCCGTGTGCCTACTGCAGACGTCCTCTTGCAGCTTGCTTTCTGGCTGGGCCTCTTCCTAGCTGGGTGAGCACATCCCTTACGTTCCCCATGTGTCAGTTTCCTGGGAAACAGGGACAGTGGTGGCCTGCATTCCACGGGGTCACAGGGCCTGCTGCGTGCTGAGCTGCTCCTTTATTTATTTTTTACATTGTTTTTGTTCATCCTCACCCGAAGATTTTTTTTCTACTGATTTTTAGAGAGAGTGGAAGGGAGGGAGAGAGTTGGGGGGGAGGGAGGAAAACATCTATTGGTTGCCTCCAATACGTGCCCCTTGGTCTGCAGGCTGATGCTCCAACCACTGAGCTAAACAGGCGAGGATGATAATCTGCTCTTTTAAAAAATATACGTTTTTGCCCTGGCCAGTTTGGCTCAGCAGTTAGAGCATTGGCCTGCGGTCCAGAGAGACCCGGGTTCGATTCCCGCTAAGGGCACATACCTCGGTTGCAGTGTGTCCCCGGCCCTGGTTGGGGTCATGCAGGAGGCAGCCAGTTGATGAGTCTCTCTCACATCGATGTTTATCTTTCTCTCTCTCTCTGTCTCTCTCCCTTCCACTCTATCTGAAGATAAATGGAAAAATATCCTCGGGTGAAGATTAAAATACGTGTGTGTGTGTGTGTGTTTATTGATTTTAGAGAGAGAGAGAGAAACATTGATGAGAAACATCCATCAGCTGCCTCCTGCATGCCCCCTATTGGGGATCAAGCTCGCAACCCCAGGCACGTGCCCTGACCAGGAATCAAACTGAGGACCCAGTGCATGGGAGGATGCTCAATCCACTGAGCCACACCTGCCAGGGTGCTGCTCTTTGAATGAAATACGAAGACCTCTAGTTTCTTCTTTTTAACCTCAGGCTAATACTCTACCATCAGACGACACGAGTACCAGTTTATCTACGCCTCTGTTGATGGGGGTTAGGCTTAGCAAGGTTTTGCAGTTCAAGTGCAATGGCAGTGAACTTCTTGCACCCATGTCCTCGTCCTCGGGCTCAGTGCCTGATTGTGGAATCGCTGTGGAAGGCAGATGGGTCTCCCTAGATATTGTCACACTGTCCCCCTAAGTGGCAGTGGATTCTCTTGCCCACCTTTATTCCACATCCCTGGTGCTGTCAGACATTGTAATTTGGCAATCTCATGGGGAGAGGGTGGGTGGAGGAGCTGCGGTTTCATAACAGATGGCCAAACTGAAGCCCAGAGAGGTCAAGGAGCTTTCTCAAGGTCACACAGCGAAGGAGCAGCATTAGGCTTCAGACCTGGGCAGCTCTCCCTGGTTGTAAGTGGGGACCTAGTTTCCTCTGGGTGCAGACCTCCTGAGTCTCACCCCAGTCCTTTCTGGTGAGCTTGAACTCACCCTCGATGCAGTCATGGTTCTACACTCCTGGTTCTTCAGAGCTAATTCTGCCCGGGCTGGTGTGGCTCAGCTGGTTGAGCGTTGTCCTGTGCACCAGGAGGTCACCAGTTTGATTCCCGGGCAGGGACACATTCCCCAGTTGGGTTGTGCAGGAGGCAGCCGGTTGATTCTCACATTGAAGTTTCTCTCTTTTTCTCTCTCTCTCTCCTCTCCCCCTTTTCCCTTCCTCTCTCTCTAAAAATAAAAGTATTTAAAAATAATAATAATAATAATAAACCAAGTGGGCCCAATCTAAGTACACTAGTCCTTAAAATTGGAGAACGTTTTCCCAGCTGTAGTGACAGAGAAAGATGTGAAGACAGACTGGCCGGTGTGGCTCAGTGGTTGAGTGTCGACCCATGCACCAAGAGGTGGCGGGTTTGATTCCTGGTCAGGGCACATGCCCAGGTTGTGCGCCCAAACCCCAGTGGGGGGCATGCAGGAGGAGGCCATTTGATGTTCCCTCTCATCGATGTTTCCATCTCTCTCTCCCTCTCCCTTCCTCGCTCTCTAAAATCAATAAAGAAAAACATTAAATACACACACACACACATACATATATATATATGATGTGAAGACAAAATAAGGGTCAGACAGAGGCAAGTCGCTGATTTTGAAGACAGAAGAAGGGGCCATGAACCAAGAAGTGTGGTGGCCTCTACAAGTGGGAAAAGACAAGGGAGCTGATTCTCCCCTGGGGCCCTCAGAAGGAAAGCAGCCCTGGGCGGCCCCTGTTGAAGCTCTGACCTACGGAACTGCAAAATAAGTTTGTATTGTCTGAGTCCACGAAATGTGTGGTGACACGTTATTGCAGCCACAGAAAGTGGCACAGCTAAACACACGACAGCTAACGGTCTAGGGGACAGGACAATGTCCTGGACCAGCAATGCCATTGTCTTGGCTCCAGCCTTTGCCCCACTGAGGATCCTGTCCCTCCTGGTGTCTTCTGGTGGGGATCACACCATCTCCACTGGGAGGCTTTCCTGATTGCTCAACTAAAATAATCACTCCCTCCCTGGGATCCTGCAGCTGTTGTTCATTTACAGTAAATAACTTTAACAACCAATGTTTTGCGGTTTTCAACAATTTCACACACATTTTGCTCACTGGCTTGGGACCCGAGGTCACCCAGCTAGTTCTACTCCCAGTGGGGCCACCACGGAACCCCAGGGAGTTGGACCCCAGAACTCACGTGTGTGCTTACTTCAGTAATTCGATAATCTTTCCCAATCCAACGAGCAAAATGTGTGTGAAATCATTTAAAGTGGAGCTCAAGCCCTGGCCGGTTTGGCTCAGCGGTTGGAGCATCGGCCTGCGGTACAGAGAGACCCGGGTTCGGTTCCCACTAAGGGCGTGTGCCTCGGTTGCAGTTTGTCCCCGGCCCTGGTTGGGTCATGCGGGTGGCAGCCACTCGATGTGTCCCTTTCACGTCGATGTCTCTCTCTCTCTCTCTCTCCCTCCCACTCTATCTGAACAAAAATGGAAAAATGTCCTCGAGTGAGGATAAAATAAAATAAAATAAAATAAAATAAAGTGGAGCTCAAGCACGGCTCTGAGTTCGAGTTCACCTTCTCTGAGCCTCAGTGTGTCCCGACCTGAAACATGGACGGGACAACAGGAGCTGCCACCCAGTTGTTGGAACGTGGGTGCCTAGCACAGAGTAAGGAGCTCCCCTTGACTCTTGGCAGGAACCCTGGAGCTGTTTTTGCTTTTGTTTTCAGAAGAAGAAACTGAGGCTCAAAGAGGCAGAGTCGTATCTTTCAAGGTCACCTTGCTAGGGAGGATGAGAGTTCGTGCCTGTCGTTTTTCCCACGCACCACCCCCGCCCGTCCCTCCACGTCTTCCCGTTTCTAAGGTTGCATATGGGGCTGTCCTGAGACTTCCCTTGCGCAGTGTGGAGCTCTGCACAGACCTGTGCTCGGGTACTGCCTTCTCCCCCACCAGGAGGGACTCCCGAGGGCGGACCCCGGCCTCCTGCACAGCGGCACGCGCCCAGCATCTGCCCGTGTCCGCCACAAGGGGGCGCTACGGGGCAGGGAGGCGGCGGGGGGTGGGGGGGGGGGGGCACCAGGGAACAAAGGCCCTGGAATCCTGGCTACACTGCACCGAGGAGCATCACCCCTAGAAACTGGGCAGCATAAACCCTAATTCACAGTTTGGATCCCCCCTAAATATCTGAGCCTCATGTGCCTGGTCTTCTTCCCCTTCCCCCACGCGACCACAGCCGGCGACAACCAGAGCCCGGGACACCCACAGCCGCCCTGCAGGACCACAGGGCACGGCACCCGGCTTTTATCGCCGCGGGCCTGGGCCAGCCAGCCAATCAGAGGCGCGACGGGCCAGTGACGTTACAAGACGTGAGGCTGATTGACGCTTGCTCCTCCCACCCCGCATCCTCCGCCCCGCCCCTCTTGCGCCGGGCTGCGGTGTGCGCATGCGTGCTGAGCTGATGGAAAAGGCGGGAATGAAGCGAGGAGCGTGGAGGGGCGACTGGGGACAAGATGGGCTGCGGGCTTGGAGAAGGGCTTTGAGGGAGCCGGGGTTGGGATGACGACCTGGCGACAGGGTGGCCCCCGGCCGTGGGGTCCGGCTCTGGATCGAGGGCTTGGGCAGCACAGCAGAACCCCAGAGGCCCCGTAGTAGGTGGGGGGACATGGGCTGGGGCTGGGCTCAGCCTGCTCTGTTGTGGGAGACACACGCGGTCCCCTCTTCTAGGCTCGGGGACAGCGCTCCAGTGGAGCCAGAGGAGGGGAGGGCTTTAGGGCCCCTGAGGCCGAGGAAACAGGCGGGGGTCTCTGACACCCAGGCCCACTCATTTAGGAGGGTCTTTCCGGAAGCCCTGCAGGGGGCGCCCCGAGGCCCCGTCCCACCTGGCCATGCTCCTCACCTGGGCCCGGAAGGCGCCTCACTTCTGGGGAGGGGGCCCCAGGGCTGCGGGTGCTGCCCCAGGAGACAGTGTGTCCAGGCGCCCCTGCAGTGGTGGTCCCCTGGGCCAGGTCCTCTCCCGAGGTGGGGTCCCAGGTCCAGGCGGGATAGTCCTCCTCATCGGCGTGGCCTTGGGAGAAATCGGGAGACATCTGGGCCCTGTCCGGCCTCACTGGTCCCTGGCGCTGCTGCAACCCCCCCTTCCGGATCCTCCTGGAGAGACTCTGGGTTCCCCGACCCCCTGGCACCCTGGCTCTGTGCCCCCCGCACCCCCCTGTCGCCAGTACCAGTGCAGGTCAGCCCCACGTCCTCCTCATGGTCACAGTTGTGCTGTCCCCATGTCCCAGCGGGGCAGTCGCTCAGCGAGGTCTCAGTCCCTTTGCAGCGCACGTCATCCAGCCAGATGGGCCCGGTCCCAGGGCCGTAGTGGGTTTTGCCCACGCGGGGCCGGACTCGTCCACAGCCCAGCTCCCAGCAGGCCACGGTGCCGTCCCGCAGGTCCCAGTTGTCATCGCACACTGTCCCCCAGCGTCCAGCATGCCACACCTCCAGCCGGCCGGCACACCGGTTGGGCCCGTCCGCCAGCCGAACCCGGAAAGGGCCTGCAGGGGAAGCCGCAGGTCAGGAGGGGCCAACCTTGGGTCAGCCTCGCCCCATCACGTGCACTCCACTCACCTGGTCCCCCAGGGGTGCCCCCAGTGGGGGCCGGGTCTTTGGATGACTCTGGAAGACCTTGGGCTGGGATCTCGGCTGATGGCCCAGCAGAGGGCGGAAGGGTTCGTTTGATGGTGGCCTCGGGGGTCATCTCCCGGGGATCTTGAGTGGTTGGCCTTGTCACAGTCTTAGAGGTTTGTTCCAAAGGGGATCGGGGGGTCGGTGTAGTGGTATATGAGGTCAGCCTGTGGGGGGCCTCCGTGGTCAGGGCTGCGGTGGTCTGGGAGCTCAGTTCTGGGGGACTCTGGGTGCCCGGGACTCTGGAGTGTTTAGTGGTTGGCGAGCCGGGGGCCTGAGTGGTCGGCCTCTTTGCATGCTTGGTCACCCACTTTTTAGTGCTCTTGGGCATTTTCCCCGGGGCCTTGGTGGTTTTCTCAGCAACACTGGGGGTCAGCCTTGCAGAGGGCTTGGTGGCCAGCTCCCCGGGGAGCCAGGCATCTGGGTCTCTGCCCAGGCCCGGGATCCAGCTCCAGCTGAAGGGGTCCGAGATGGAGTCCAGGCCAGGGTTCCCTGGGAGGTGGAAGAGAAGGCAGGGAGGATGGCAGACCCCGTGGCACCAGTCATCCGCCGATGCCCCTCCCTCTCTCCCATCTCCCCCTCCCCAGTCAGTCACCAAGCTCCCGTTCCTTCGTTCATTCATTCATTCATGCTCATCACAAATATTGAGCATCTCCTCTGAGCCAGGCACTGTGCCTGACCCTGGGCACACTGTGGCCAGCCAAACCCGACACTGTCCCCTGCCTTCTGGGCACTTGCAGTCATGATGTGACTGGCTCTCTTCGCCTTTCACACCCCTGGCCACACTTCCTGTACCTTCTGACGGGCTGCCCTTCTTCCCTGCCCAGCTCTCACCAACCACGAGAGGGGCACCAGGTCTGACAAGTCACTCCACGACCTAAAACCCTCTGTGGCTCCCGTGGCCTCGGAAGGAGAGGGAGAGGGGGAGGGCCTCAGCTCCAGGCAGCATGGAAGACTCCATCTTCCCAGCAGCGACTGACTCACTGCACCTCTTTCTGGTTAGTACCTGCGTGCAGCAAAGGGTTAACTTAGCCCAAAGAAAGGTCTGGCCTTTGCCCCTGGCTCCTGGCAGTGACCTGAAGCCCCTGGAATGTCCTGCCTAATAAGATGCCTCCTCTGTCGGTCCCCTCGTCTGACCGACCTCACAGGGAGGCTGGGAGGGCTTCCCTGCTTGGCGCCCACCCCCCAGGGGACTGCAGGAAGCTGCACCCGTCTCTCCTGGACCCCGCACCACATGCCTCCTCCCTCAGCTGTTAACGTGTGTCTAAGTAACCACAACCCCGAGTATGATGGCGGTTCCGAGTCCTGGAAATTATGGAAGCTGCAGACGGTCTTAGAGACCTCCCAAATCCCACATATCCCGCGGGTTTGCACCATCTGTTGACGTGTCCTCTCCCTCGAGAGCTGTGAGCTTCTCACGGGCCAGGCCGTGTTCGCTGCATCTGAGGACCCAGCTCAGTGTCCAGCCCTCAGTAAACGTCGGCGAGTGAGTGAGTGACAACGGGAGGCCTGAGTTTCCTGCCGTGGGCCTTCACTCTGGCTTCACCCCATGTCCCAGGGCCCCTCTGTCTCCTTCCTCTCATCTTGGGGAAGACAAAACTCCCCTGTGTGGGGGAGACTTCCCTGATTCTTGGGAGAGAGGAGGAAGAAGAGTCCCAGCTCTGCCACTTTGTTGCTGTGTGACCTTGGGCAAGTTACTCAAACACTCTGTGCCTTAGGGTCTTCATCAGTAACATGGACATAGCATCCACCAATCTGGGCTTATTGTGAGATGTGAAGGCAGTCCCGTGTGGAAACACCCAGCCCAGGGCAGGGGCTCAGGAGGTACTTGCTCAGTCGACATTCGTGTGGATGTTAGTTCCTGTTCCCTCCTCCAGGAAGCCCTCCCGGAGCTAATGGGTGGCTAGAATTCCTTACCAGTGCAGATGACACCAACATCCTCATTGTGAGCGCAGTTGTGCTTCCCCCAGGGAGTGGCGGGGCAGTCAAAGAGCGACGCCTCGGTCCCTACACACCTCACATCGTCCAGCCAGATGGGGCCGGCGCCCCAGCCAAAGCGGCCCACAGAGGGATCCGGCTGCCGAGCTCCCCCGCAGCCCAGCTCCCGGCAGACCACAGCTGAGTCCCACAGGTCCCAGCTGTCATCACACACTGTCCCCCAGCGCCCAGAGTGCCACACCTCCAGCCGGCCAGAGCATCTGCTGGGTCCGGCCACCAGCCGCAGTTGGGGGGACCCTGGAGTGGAAGAAACCCAAAGAGTTAGAGTTGAGGATGCTTCTGCTCTCTGAGTCCTCCTCCACCTCCCCTCCATCCATCCTTCCATCCAGGCAGCAAGCATTTACTGAGGCTTGTGCTGTGCCATCGTCGGCATTAAGTACAGGGATAGAGAGCTAGCTGGGCACAGTGTGGTGGTTCCTTGGAAAGCTAAACAGAATTACCGTGTGATCCAGAAATTCCACTCTGAGGGACCAACCCAAAATAAGATAAAAATGGTTTTCAAATAGACACTGGTACCCAAAGGTTCACAGCAGCACTATTCACAAAGCCAAAGAGTGGAAACATCCTAAAAGTCCATCCATGGACAAGTGGACACATAAAATGTGGTCAATTGGTACAATGGAATATTACGCAGCCACCAACAAGGAAGGAAATTCCAACACCTGCCACAACATGGCTGCATCTTGAAGATATTGTACTAATTGAAATAAGCCAGTCACAAAAGGACAAATATTGAATGGTTCCACTTAAATGAGGTCCCTAGTGTCATCAAATTCATAAAGACAGTAAGTATGACAGTGGGGGCCAGGGGCTGGGGGATGGGGAATGAGGAGCTAGTGTTTGATGGGTCTGGGGTTTCTGGAGATGGTCGCGGTGATGGCTGCACAACATTCCGAATGTACTTAATAGCACCAAACTGTGCCCTTAAAATGGTCGATTTTATATTGTGTAAAATGGTCAATTTTATATTGTGTATAATGTACCACAATAAAAACAAAAGAATATGGTCTCTGGGACAAACTGCCTTTGCTCGAGTCCTGCTTTCCCACGTTTCAGCGGTGGCCTGGCTGGGACGTGGAGACCGGAAGCGTGCAGGGCGTCAGTAATGGGCTGTTCGTTACCTGTCACCTGCTGAAGAAGCTTAGAGCACTCGCACAGTCCTGGTCACACAGGAGCCAGTGAACTCTGAGTCACTGGTAGTTATTGTTATGTTGTTATTATTATTCGAAAAAGAGGAAAGAGCCCTAGCCAGTGTGGCTCAGATGGTTGGACATTGTCCCGTACACGGGAAGGTTGCAGGTTCCATTCCTGGTCAGGGCACATGCCCGGGATGGGGGCTCCAACCCCAGTAGGGGACGTGCAGGAGGCAGCCAATGGATGTCTCTCTCACATCAATGTTTCTAGCTCTCCCTCATCCTCTCTCTCTAAAAAAAATCAATAAAAATATGTAAAAAAAAAAGAGAGCGAGAGAGAGAAAAGCCCGGCTGGTGTGGCTCAGTGGTTGAGCCTCGACTCATGCACCAAGAGGTCGCTGGTTCGATTCCCGGTCAGGGCACATGCCCAAGTTGTGGGCCAAATCCCCGGGGGGGGGCATGCAGGAGGCAGCCAACTGATGTTTTCTCATCAATGTTTCTATTTCTCTTTCTCTTTCTCTAAGAGCAACAAAGAAAAGAATTTTAAAGGAACGAGAAAAGAAGCCTTCACTAATATTGAACGAGTCCCCACTGTTTTCGGCCTTGAAGAGACAGCTGTGTTCATCATATCTGCTTATTTTTGGTATTTCCGAGGCTTTGACACCAGGGGCCTTGGTGACATCAGAGGGTCCGCCCCTCCCCGGGGCAGCTCACAGCTCGAGATGGGAAACCACTGGATGGTGCCATTGGTGGGCCAGCCGGCCCATCCAGAGCCCGCACCACACTGCTCCTTTATGGGGCTCACACCCCTCAGCCCCTGGGACGCGGACCACACACCGGACAGTGGCCAGTCTCCCCTGCGGGAGCCCGCGGAGGCTCCAGCCCACAGGTTCCCCACCTCCCTGCCTCCTGGCCGACCCTTGCGCGCCCCCGTGTGGCCGTGCCTGGCGCGGCGTGCCCCCCTCTCGGGAACCGAGGCACCACCGTGTCTGCAACGGCAGCCTCCTGGTTTGTTGGCCTCGCCCGTGCCTGAATCATAATAAAGCCTAGATTTCAAAGCACGGCCGTGGTGGGCACAGGCCCTTCTGTACTCGGGAGGAGGCGGCGGTCTTCAGTCCGGGACCGGGGGCCTTAGAGCCGGCGAGGCCGGAGCACCAGCCCTGTGCACCTGTGCCTGTTGGTCCTCGGGACAGTCCCTGGGCAGAGGGGAAGGGCACTGGGGCCGATCCGGGGAGCAAACAGAAGCTAAGACCCTGTTTTGGGGGAGCAGAATGGACTCACCAGCTTCAGGCCCAGGCTCCCAAGGGGCAGCTGGGGAGGCAGGCGGCGCCGAGATGCCCGCTGTCTGCGAGGCCGGGTGCACCGTGGGGAGCGGGAGCCTGGACGCTGCGTCCCTGGACGCGGAGCTGTTGCTGCCCATGGCGGGGGCCGTGGGAGGGGCGTAAGCAAGAGGCATACCTGGGGCAGGGGCAGGGGAAGAGATGGTCACCACCCACCCAGTGCTTCCCTGGCCCCCACACCCTCTGCCCCGGGCCAGGGACATAGATGAGGTTTCACGGATAAGAGGGGGCACGGGACAGTGTGAACAAAGGGAGTGGGGGGCACGTGGTACTGAGGGAAACACATCAGCACCCCCCTTCTTGCCCTCCACCCGCCCACCCGCCTTCTCCTGGAGCCCTCACCGTCACACACAGCTCCTGCATCCTCCCGGTGGTGACAGTCGTGATGGCCCCAGGGCCGCGATGGGCAGAACCGCAGGGCTGTCTCGTTTCCCCGACAGCGAAGATCATCCAGGAGGATGGGGCCAGCCCCCTCCCCAAAGAAGGCGCCTCCGGGGGCGGCCAGCGCGGCCCCACAGCCCAGCTCCCGGCAGGCCACAGCGGCGTCACGGAGGTCCCAGGCGTCGTCACACACCGACCCCCAGCGTCCACCGTGCCACACTTCCAGGCGGCCGGCACACCCGTGGGGGCCATCGGCCAGGCGCAGCCGGGGAGCTGGGCCTGGACGTGGGGAGAGCGACAGCAACTATGATGCTTCCCAGTCTAAATGATGCTGGAGCCCTGGCCGGTTTGGCTCAGCAGTTAGAGCGTCGGCCTGCGGACCAGAGAGTCCCGGGTTCGGTTCCGCTAAGGGCATGTACCTCGGTTGCAGTTTGTCCCCGGCCCTGGTTGGGTCATGCGGGTGGCAACAACTCGGTGTGTCTCTCTCACATTGATGTTTCTCCCCCTCCCCCCACTAGATGTTTCTCCCCCTCCCCCCACTCTATCTGAAGACAAAAATGTCCTTGGGTGAGGATAAAAAATTTTAAAAATGATGCTGGAAATGAGGAAAAGGCTCCGAGACAGAAAGCCACTCGCTGAGACCCCAATTCTGATCCCCACCCCCATGTCCCTCCCTGTCCGGGGTGTGGGGTGACTGCCCCAACCCCGTGGGCCTCCTCCCTAGCCTGGCTCCCCATGCCTGGGGGACCCTCGCCTTCTGAGGGCACTGTCCTGGGTACTGTCCAGCGCGCCCACCCACCCAGCAGCCCTGGGCTTCAGCCCCCAGATGTGAGGAGTACCCACAGCTGTGACAACCAAAGATGTCTGTAGACTTTGTTGATGTCCCCTAGGGAGTGGGGGTGAAAAAATCACACACACCCCCATTGAGAACTGCTGGTGCAGACAGTAGCCTCTTGCTGGTTCTGGGGAGCGTTTATGTTAGGTCTTCAGGGGTCAGAACTGGGAGGCCACTGCAGATGTGGAGTCAGTCCATCCCTACTGGCCAGTACGGGGGATCACCCCAGTCAGTGCTCTCGGGCAAAGGTCAGCCCAGAGAGAAGCCAGAAATGCCTGCCCTATGTCTCCTCGTAACTGACAGGAGCTGCCCTACAGGGTCACTCTGCGAGCCACACGTGTTAAGGACAGCCCTGCTGGTGTGGCTCGGGGGCTGAGCATCGCTGTGCACCCAGAGGTCAGTGGTTCGATTCCCGACAGGGCACAGGGCACAGGGCACAGGGCACATGCCAGGTTTGGGGCTTGATCCCCAGTAGGGGGCGTGCAGGAGGCAGCTGATGGATGGTTCTCTCTCATTGACGTTTCTCTCTCCCGCTCCCTTCCTCTCTGTCTCTAAAATCAATGAAAACATATTTTTAAAAAATGTATTTGTTAATCCTCACCCGAGGATGTTTTTCCATTGGTTTTTAGATACAGTAGAAAGGAGAGAAACATTCAAGTGAGAGAGACACATCAATTGGTTGCCTCCCAAACATCCCCCCACTGGGGCTGGGGATCGAACCTGCAACCCAGGTACGTGCCCTTGACTGGGAATCTAACCCAGGACCCTGCCGTCCACGGGCCAATCGATGCTCTAACCACTGAGCCAAACCAGCCAAGGTCATAAAAACATATTTTTAACAAATTATTTTTAAATTAAGATGTTAAGGCACTGAGCTCCTGGGCCCTTCAGTGGGTTCACTTCTTTCCAACAATGAAACTCTCTCCGAAGCCTCATCTTACCTCCTGTGAGCTGGGCCCCGATTCTGGCCCCATGTGCTTCCCACCCTGTGGCAGGTGGAGGGCCCCCTCACTGCCCCGACCCGGCTCTCTGCCCCACCCTGTCCTGCTGGCCTCCACCCCACCGCACACTGTGCTTCAGACACGCGGGACCCCAGGACTTGGCTGTGACAGACCCAAGTTCAAGACAGGTCCCACCTGTGCAGACCAGCCCTGCGTCCTCGCTGTGGTCACAGTTGCTCCGACCCCAGGGACTCCGGGGACAGTCCCGCAGGGCCTGCTCTCCGCCTCCACACCCCACGTCGTCCATCCACACCGGTCCTGAGCCGGGGCCAAATCTGGCTGCACCGGGGGCGGCCAGCGCCCCTCCACAGCCCAGCTCCCGGCAGGCCACGGCGGCGTCCCGCAAGTCCCATCCGTCGTCACACACCGTCCCCCAGCGCCCGCCGTGCCACACTTCCAGGCGACCCGCGCACCCGTGGGGGCCTGAGACCAGGCGCAGCCGCTCTGGGGGGCAGACAGGGGACCGTGTGAGGAGGCTGGGATGGGGGATTCAAACGCCCCTGCCCGAGAGGGTGGTGGCCTGAGGTCCACCTGGCAGCCAGGCCACTCGGGAGAGCAAGGATCTGAATGATGCAGGGAGCGGGGTGCCTGGGTGCCAGGAACAGATGCCTGGGTGGGGGGGACCCAGCCTGGCTCTCAGTTCTGAGGGAACAAGAAGACACCTGGGGGCCCAGGTTGGTCCACATTAGGCCAGGGTCCCCCAACCCGTCCAGACCTACCGAGGGGCCTTACCCTGGCGGGAGGCTCCAGCCGTCAGGAGAGGGGCCCTGGTGGACTTGGCCTGCTTGGGTGGCCGCGGGCTCTTCTTCCGGGAGCTGCTCTGGGGGGTCCCGACCGGGCGGGGTGCTGGGAGAGGACACAGCAGGGAGGGAGGTTGGGAGCAGCTCACCCCGTCTCCCTGCCTGGGGGCTGCGATGGGGACCTTCAGGGTTGGGGGGTGACAGGCATCTGTCTCTCTGTGCTCTGCGCCATCTGATGAGAGGGCCCCTCTCCCCTGGCTGAGCAGACGCGGGCGTGGGCAGTGGGCTCACCGTGTGTCACAGGGGGCTCCTCCGAGCTGGGGCTCAGCTCTCCAGACAGCCCGGGCCAGAGGTCCCCGTCCAGCAGGGAAGGGGAGCCATCTGCGTTCCTCGAGTTGGTCACACGCTGGCCTGCGGAGAGCAGGGGGCTGTGGACAGGTGGGCCCCGTGACAGGCTGGGCAGGACCCCTGCGTGGTGGTAAGCCAGGGTCCTGCAGGGAGGCCCCTGCTCTGGAGGGACGGGCTGAGGACTCGGGGTCCTCACCTGCACAGACGACACCTGCATCCTCCTCGTGGGAGCAGACATGGGCCTTCCACCCTCGGTGGGGGCACAGGCGCAGCTGCCCCTCGCTGCCCCGGCAGGCCAGCTCGCTCAGCCACACGGGCCCTGCGCCCTCCCCGAAGAAGGCGCCTCCGGGGGCGGCCAGCGCCCCTCCGCAGCCCAGCTCCCGGCAGGCCACGGCGGCGTCACGGAGGTCCCATCCGTCGTCACACACCGTCCCCCAGCGCCCGCCGTGCCACACTTCCAGCCGACCTGCACACCCGTGGGGGCCGTCGGCCAGGCGCAGCCGCTCTGGGGGGACGGAGGAGAGGCTGCGACATCCTGGAGGCCCGGGGGCCAGGGTCTATCCTACAGAGTGGGACTGGGGGGCCAGCACCCAGGCTGCAGAAGAGGACCCCGACTCCTGGGTGCCCAGGGGAGCAGTGGTGAGAGACCTTGGTCCCTGGGTAGCCGGCCACTCAGGTAGTTCTGAGGGGAAAGGTGCCTGAGGTCATAGCCAGATGGGGGAGGAGGGGTGGCCAGGGTCCCACGGGAGGGCGAGGCCAGGAGTGGAATGGGCTTGGAGCTGGGCGAGGCGACAGAGTGTTGGGGCCACTTACCAATAGCCTGGATCCCCATCAGAACCACTGGAAGGGAGGTTGGAGGGGTGGGACACAGTGAGGGCAGGCCTGGAGTCCTCTCTCCAGCACAGGCCCCTGGCCTTACACACCCTCACACACACACGCGCACACACACGCATACGCACACACGCACACGCACATGCACACACACAGATCCTCACACCTCTAAACCAACAACCTCCCGCAGAGGACTCTGGGCTAAGCAGAGGCCCAGGTGCCAGAGGACAGGGCTGGGGACCAGGCCCTTATGCTCCCCAGAGGCCTGGCTAAAGGTCACATGGTGGATCACCCCCCACAAGGGTCAGGGCTGGTGGTGGGACTGGGTGTGCCGAAGGTGGGGTCCCCGGGGGGTCAGGCGGGGAAGGTGCACATCCTGTACCCTCAAGCACCAGGAATGGACCCAGGAAGTCTGAGTTCCTCAAGTGCATGAGCTCAGGGCTCAGAGGGTGGGGCCCAGGCCCCTGAGTCCCCATGGAGAAGGGGTCACTCACCGAGGAGGCAGGTCAAGACCCTCATGTTTGCAGAGTCCAGGGCAGGGATGGGGTGAGAGGGGATGGGAGCGGGGCAGGGGAGGAGGCAGCGGCCACTGGAAGGAGGAAGGGGGTGCGCCTGCTAAGGCGCCCTGGACCCGGGAGGAGCAGGCAGGAGCTGGATATGCTTTGCCAGGATCAAGAGAGGCTGCCGAGGAGGCAGCAGGGGACAGGAGGGGGGGCGGGGAGGGGGCTGGCCGGCGGCTGAGGCTGAGGCCTGGGAAGGAAGGGGGGTTGTGGGAGGGAAGGAGGGTGTCCAACTGCAAACACCCACACAGAGCCGCCAGGCTCGCTGGGCGGGCGCAGAGATGCTTAGGGGCGGCAGGCTCAGGGAAGGGACACGCCGGGCGCACGTGGAGGCCAGTGGAGGTCGTGTGGGCAGGGTGCCCACCCATCTGCCTGCTCTCTTCTCCAACAAGGGAAGTGTGGTGGGAGCAGGGTGGAGGGGCTGGAGGCTGGATTCACAGGAGTTGCTGGGCTTGGGGATCACGGCTCAGCAGCAAGAGGGCTTCCAGCCAGACACCAGGAAGGACTTCCTGGATCGGGAAAGGAGGCTGAGAAACCCCCTCTCCCCATTCCCCTGCCTAGAGTCGGATGCACAGCTCCCATCTCAGGGAGAAGAGGTTGAACTTATTTGCCCCTTTCTGGTAACACCCCCAAGGGAACTGGGGTGGTGGATGGGCAGACGGAAGGTCGAGGCCTGGGCGGGAAGGCGACTGACTGCACACTCACACACTCTGCACCAGGCAGCTGGGAGGCGGAAAACTTCGGTAATGGGGAGCGTGAGTCAGCCGGCTGGCTAGGGGGGAGCTGCTGTGAGCTCATCACCTCCCCTTCTCCCAGGCCAGCACCCCCACCGACAATTAATGTCAACTCAGGGGAAGGAGGAGCCAGACAGAAGGGGGGGTTCGGAGACAGACTGGAAAAGGCATCAGAGAGAGGGAGGCGGGCGTAGAGCAGTTTCAGGCTTTATTAACAATCGGGTGTAAAAAACCAGATGGGTCTGGCGGACCGCTAGGCTCCCACCTTCCCCCAGGGCGGGGCGCTGGGCAGCCCTGTGCTCCCCCTACCGCCAGGGCTCCCTGGGAGACAAAGCTCCCCTGCAGAGGCTCAGCTCATCGGCTCTGGCTCCAGACTCACCCCCTTCAAGCACAGGCATCAAACCCCACCCCATTCGCAGGGGCCTTGTCCAAATTTGGGGTGCCCCTGCCCCAAGTCCCCTTGGAGGTGGAACTTGCTCAGCCTCCTCTCCCCCACCCTCTTCTCTCCCAGGCCGGGAGCACAGAAGGTGCAGACTCTGCAGTGAGAGAGGCAGACCCCGAGGCAGGAGGCTGGACAGGCTGACCTCTGACAAGTGCACACGCTACAGACAGGCCTGACTGCAGTGCGGTCTCTTGCCCTCGGCAGGCCTGAGTTTCTGGGCCCTGGGTGGGCTGAGGATTCGCACGGGATGTGAATGTGCCCGCACACAGTAGGTGCTCAGGTTGGAGTCACAGGTCCTTGCTGAACTCCCTCACCAGCGTGTAGCCCATGCAGCCCCAGCTCCCCTCAGCCTGGTAGCCGCAGCCCTCCAGCATCCCTGCCACGCCCCAAGCTGCCACAGCCACGGGGACCACGAGGCGGGCCCGGGGCTCCCCCACCCCGGCTGCCCAGGCTCTTGCCCGGGACTCTGCAAAGGCCAGGAGCCGCCTGCCCACGCCTTGGCGGCGGTGCCAGCGGCAGACAGAAAGGCGGGTGACCCGGGGCCCGCCCCCAGTGTTGGAGCCCAGAGCCAGGGCCAGGACCCCACACACGTCCCCTGAGCCACGCACTGCCACCCAGGGCCCCCCCAGGCCACCGGACGGAGGCAGCGAGCCCCACCGGGCCCGCAGGCCCAGCTTCATGGCCACCACGGCCAGGAACACCGGCAGGAGGAGGGCCAGGGCAAAGGAAGCCAGGATGAAGCGCAGGCCACTGCTGGCTGCGGCCAGCAGGAGCAGGGTGGGCGGCCGTGTCAGGGCGTGGAGGGCCACTCGGTTCTCCATGTCCTTCACGCCAGCCTGTGGGTAGCAGGGGTAGTCAGAGCTGGGGACCTGGCCTTCCGTTACACTAGGGCCCCCGTGGGCACCGGGGACCAGGAGAGGGGTCCTGTTCAGGAGAGACCCGGGGTGGGAGCTCCGGAAGGAGAAGGGACAGCAGTGTGCCGGGGCCTGTGGCAGAGGGACAGGCGGCCGGGGCCACATCTGCTCTAGGCACCGACAGACACATCTGGCGCACTGCGCTTTGCGTGAGTGAGTGAGTGAGTGACTGAAGAAATCAGGAGCTCTGGGGACACCCAACTCAGGAGCGGGACGGGCAGGAGGCACCAGGGAAGGCTGAGGTGGGGACAGACCGGGGACTGCCCCCAGGCCAGAAAGCGGGCATGCCCCGGACAGCAAGAGGCGAGTCTGGAGGCAGGCTGAGGCCCCTGGGACTGGGCTCTGAAGAGTGGGGGTCAGAGGCAGAGTCCCCCCCAGCGCTCCAGTGTTAACCCTTCCGGACCCTGAGGCACGGGAGGCGGACGCACTGGCGGGAGAGGGGCCCGGGCAGAAGGGAGGGGAGGAGGGCTGCCTGGGGCGGGCTGGCTCAGGCTCAGGCAGTGGCGGAAGCCGCCCCGCCCCCGGCTCTCTGGTGCCCCCGGCAGCCCTCACCTTCAGCATCTCCAGCACCAGGGGCCGCTCGTCTTCCCTCATCTCCCGCACCGACAGGTGGCTGGGGGCCATGGCAGCCCCCGCGCCCCCAGGGAGCAGGCGTGCACCTGGGGAAAACAAGCAGGTCAGCATCAGGAAGGCGCCTCTGCTGGCCCGGCGCCCCAGGGGTGGCGATCAGCAGTCGCGCGTCCCAGATGAGGGCATTGAGGACGCTCGGGGGACCCCCAAGGCTGTAGGACAGGCTGCCCTCCACCCAGCGACCTTCCTAACGTCTCCCGGGATCCTGCACCCCCACCCTGTGGGGTTCACTTATCTGCCCCTAAAGGCCGTGTGGACGCCAACACCAGGCAACACGGGGCCCCCTCCCAGGCTCCGGGGCTGCTCTGGGGGGTCGGCGAGAGGCCCCCGCCCCCCCCCAGGGCGCGGACCCGCTCCCCACGCCCCGGCGCCCCTCTCCCACAGTCGCCGCAGGACAAGGACCTGCAAACACTCTTGCGGGTCGCCCTGATCCTTTGACAAGGTGGAGGGGGGCAGGGTGGGAAAGGGGGTCGCCGGCGGAAGTGACGTCAGACACACGCACGTTGGGGGTGGGGCAGTACCTACACTGGACCTTAGCAACTGTTGCCAAGCTCCCTGGCGTGCGGGGCTGCGCGGCAGCTAAAGCAGGGCGCGGAGACTCTGCCTCTGCGGGATGGGGTACGGGTAGAAAGGGCGATGGGGAAAGGGGACCCCTGGGACGACCGGGGCAAACACCGGCGGCGTGGGGGCGGGGAGCGGTCCTTACCAGCCCGTGGAGCGCACGCTCTTCCCGACGTTTACTGGTTGCTAAGCAACTTGAGTGTGGGGGTGGGGGCGGGCCAATTCTCATTGGTACCGGGGCTCTGGCCGCGGGCTGCGTCACCATCCTAAGCCCACTAGCTCGCGCACCCTAGGGACCTCCGCCCCAAACTTCCGTGCTCGGTGACCTTCGGACAAGCATTGCTCCCACCCACTGTTCAGACGAGGGGATGTGTGGGGTGACTAACTGCAGACAAGGATTCTAGATTCCACCGCCGCCCCATCTAGTGACCACTGCATCCCCCGTTTTTTAAATCTTCACCTGAGGATATTTTTCCCCATTAATTTTTAGAAAGAGTGGGAGGGAGGGAGAAACAGAAACACAATGTGACTCATCGCGTCTCCGACGGAGGTGGGGGCGTTGAACCTTGACCGGAAATCGAACCCAAGACCCACCTCATGAGCCACACCAGCCAGGGTAAACAGAGCAAGTCCCCTGCGAAGAGGGAGGCAAGAGATTAGACTCCAGACTCCCAAGCGGTGACTGTGGCCATGACAGTGCCCCTCCCCCAATAAAACAACCTGGGAGAGCGGGACTCCGGTTTTTATTAGCGAGCCCTGCCTGCACTACTCCTGCCCCCAGCCCAGGCCAGGCGGACAGGGAGTCGGGGCCTGTGTGGGGGCGGGAAGAAGTACCAGTGGTTCTTCTCAAAATGTGTGCACCAGCTGGACTGCAGGCAGAGTCTGGACAATCTGAATAGAGGGTAGGCCCTGCGAGGCCATGGCGCCCGGTGCGGCTGCAGAGGGGACCACTTGCACCATCTGGGAGGCAGGAGCCGCAGGGATGCCGGCAGGGGCAGAGGCTGGGCTGGGCGGCGGTGGGGCCAGCAGCTGCAGTGTGGTCGCACCTCCCCCAACACTGCTGTTCTCCAGCAGCTCGGTGGCCGGGGCGCTGCGGATGATGAGCAGTTTCTGTCCAGGAGGCCCGGGGGCAGGCGGCTCGGCCAGCCCCGAGGGGAGGGCCTCCACCTCCTGTACACACAGCTGGGTCTGCTCCCCATCTGCCCCACTGAGTACCAGGACGCTCTGCAATCCCTCATCCGTCTGCAGCGTCTCAAAGAGCACATCCTGGACCACACCCGCGGTGGCCTCACCATCACCCGGCTCCCCCGTGCCAGAGCCCGCCAGCAATTCCTCCGCTGCCCCACTCTGAACTACCAGCAGGTTGGGGGCCTCAGTAGTCACGGCTCCCCCACTGGGATTGGACAGCTGGCCTGCCACAGGCTGGAGCTGGACCGTGGTCACCTCCTGTGCTGGCTGGAGCTGGACCGTGGTCACTTCCTGTGCTGGCTGGAGCTGGACCGTGGTCACTTCCTGCGCTGGCTGGAGCTGAACTGCGGTCACCTCTGGGGCTGGCCGGAGGGGCTGGAGCTGGACCCCGCTAACTTCCGGTGGCCCCACCTCCCCACTGCCCACATTCTGCAGAAGGATGAGGCTTTGCCCTGCTCCATTAGCCCCAGCGTTGCCCCCTCCCTGCACCCCCAGTCCCCCAGGGCCTGGCAGCCAGACTAAGCCAGTCCCCTGACCAGCCTTCCCTACTGCCCGCAGGCCCTGCCTGGCCCGGCTGCCCCCACCACCAGTACTGGAGGAGGGCAACAGAATGAGCTTGGGGGGTGCAGGGGGCGGTGGAGGCGTAGGGGGCTGCACACTGCTGGGGATTAGCTGGAGGCCCTGGGCAGTCTGTACCAAGAGGAACGTCTGAGAGTTGGGGGATGCTGAGGCCAGGGGTGGGGCCTGGGCCGGGCCCCCTGCCACCTCTAGGGAAAGCGTAGCCTGGAGGTGGGGGAGCACGTGTACATCTTGAGTGGCCGGTGGGGCTGGAGCAGCAGCCAACGGAGCAGGGGCTGGGGGTCCGGTGGCCGGGGTAGCAGGGGTGGCTGGGGCATGCGTCCTCAGGTGCCGCTGCAGGTAGGCGGCCATGACGAAGCTGCGGCTGCAGATGGGGCAGGCGAAGGGGCGCTCGGCCGAGTGGGTGCGCTGGTGCAGCAGCAGGTTGGACGAGTGCGTGAAGGTCTTGGGGCAGAGCGGGCAGCGGAAGGGCCGCTCGCCCGTGTGCACGCGCTGGTGCTGCCGCAGGTTGGAGGTCTGTGCGAAGCTCTTGCCGCAGACGCTGCAGGCGTGCGGCCGCTCGCCCGTGTGCACGTGGCGGTGGCGGCGCAGGCACGACGTGTTGCGGAAGGCCTTGCCGCACTCCCCGCAGGCGTAGGGCCGCTCGCCCGTGTGCAGCCGCAGGTGGTACTGGTAGTGCGACGACCACTTGAAGGTCAGGCCGCACTGGCCGCAGGTGAAGGCGCGCAGGCCCGTGTGCACGCGCTGGTGGATGGCCAGCAGCGACGAGCGCTTGAAGGCCTTGCCGCACTCACCGCACTGGTAGGGCCGCTCGCCCGTGTGGTCCCGCAGGTGGTAGCGCAGCCCTGACGAGCCCTTGAAGGCCTTGCCGCACTCCGCACACTTGTAGGGCCGCTCGGCCGAGGCGGGCGCAGGCGTAGGCGCTGGTGGCTGCGGGGCTGGGACAGCGGGGACCAGCGGTTCCTGCGGGCAGGTGACCTCGGCGGCCTCGGCCTGTGGGGGCGGGCGCCCGGCCGCCGCCTCCTCCACGTGGCACTGCTGATGCGCCAGGAGGCTGGCTAGCTGCGGGAAGGCACCGTCACAGCTGCCGCAGCGGAACGCCTGCCCGCCGGCTGCCCCGTGGCTGTGCTGGTGGCGGGAGAGTCCGGCCACCGTCCGGAAGGACTTCCCACAGGGAAGGCAGGCGAAACTGGGGATGGTGGCAGTGGCAGGAGGCGGCTGTGCCTGCGGGGCCGGAGCCGGTGGGGCGGCCTTGGGCGTTTCTGGAGGCGCGTCCTGGGGCACGGGCACCGCCTCGGGGCCAGGGCAGGGCTGGTGCTCCAGCAGCAGCTCCTCGCTGCCAAAGCCCAGCTCGCAGCCGTCGCAGCGGTACACCAGCTCCACTGTGGTCTCCGCGGCTGCCAGAAAGAGCTCGGGCACCACGGGCGGGGGCGCGGGGGGCGGGGGCGCCGACGGGCTGGGGGAGTGCAGGTGCGGCTGCAGGTAGGTGTCAGTGAAGACCTTGGCAGGCTCCCGCGGTGGCGGCGGCGGCGGCGGCGGCGGAGGTGCAGAGGCAGCGGCGGGGGCGGCGCCGTGGGTGCGCTGGTGCAGCAGCAGGTTGGACGAGTGCGTGAAGGTCTTGGGGCAGAGCGGGCAGCGGAAGGGCCGCTCGCCCGTGTGCACGCGCTGGTGCTGCCGCAGGTTGGTGCTCTGGGTGAAGCTCTTCCCGCAGACGCTGCAGGTGTAGGGCCGCTCCCCCGTGTGCACGTGGCGGTGGCGCCGCAGGCTGGACGAGTTCTTGAATGCCTTGGGGCAGTCGGGGCATGGGTAAGGCCGCTCGCCCGTGTGCTGACGCAGGTGGTACTGGTAGTGCGACGACCACTTGAAGGCCAGGCCGCACTGGCCACAGGTAAAGGCCCGCAGGCCGGTGTGCACACTACGGTGGATCTGCAGCAGCGACGAGCGCTTGAAGGCCTTTGGGCAGTCGGGACACTGGTAGGGGCGTTCACCCGTGTGGCCCCGCTGGTGGTAGAGCAGGGCTGATGAGCCCTTGAAGGCCTTGGGGCAGTCGGGGCACTTGTAGGGCCGCTCGCCTGTGTGTGTGCGCTGGTGGTGCAGGAGCCGGGAGGACCAGCGGAAGGACTTGCCACACTCCCCACACTCGTACTGGGCGGCAGGGGCCGGGGCCGCAGAGCCCGGCTTCTCCCCGGTGCCCTCCGCGGTGGAGGCCGGCGCCATGTCAGCGTGGGAGCCGACCATCACACCTGGGGGGGGATTCTGGGTCAGGAGAGGGTGGCGCTCCCCTCCACACACACACACACACACACACACTCTCTCTCTCTCTCTCTCTCTCTCTCTCTCTCTCTCTCTCTCATCTCAACCCCAAACCCATACGCTGCCCTTTCAGAGGCAGGGGCACCTCCCCAGCCCACCCTTAGCGCAGAAGCCTCCCTCAGGATTAGGGCCTCCAATGGTCTGGGTTTGCCCCAGGATGCAAGACTTCAGATGCTAAAACTCCCAGCAAATTGGAACAAGAGGGTCACCAGCCTTGGGAGGTCAGCCGTCTCCTCCCGGAGTCTGGGCCTGGCCTGAGGGCTATGCTCTGAAGATGGGCAGTGTCCTTGAAAAAGGCCAGGGTCTCTTCAGCACCCTGGCTTCCAACCCTTGACCCCTCTCCCTGAAAAGACACATCCTCCCCCTGCCTCAACACCTCTACTGTAACTGAAGCCCCTGTGAGCGTCCCACTCTCCACTGCCACCCACTCTGCTCGCAGGCTCCCTCTTGGTAGCCTGACCCAAATTCCCTCAACTCTACTAGATCCCGGCCTCCATCTGAGTCCTCACTTCCCCTTACCCAGCATAAGGGCTGGGGGTGACGGGAAACTGCTGGGCTTCGGTCTCCCTTTGCACTCATGCCTGTGGATTGCAGAGCTCAGCCCACCAGCCCGCGCTGCTTATCCACATTTCTCTGGTCCATTCACTCCCCAGCTGACACTTGCATGTTTTTCCCTCTTCAAACCTCTCTCCTTTCCCCTCCTGCTCTCACCAGGTGACCCTCGGCATTGAAAAAAATAAAAGCAATCAGAAGAGAACGTTACTATGTTCCAACCACTGCACCAGTGGTTCTCCATGGGGCAAATAAGATCCCCCCTGCCCCAGGGGACATAAGAAAATGTCTGCAGACTGTTCTGGTTGTGAGGCTGTCACTGGAGGGGCAGGTGCTCCTGGCAGCTAGTAGGCCAGGGACACTGCCCACACCCTGCAGTGCACGGGACAGGGCCCCACAGCAGTCCAAAGCCAGTGCTGCTTAGGCTGAGAAACCTGAACTGTCCCCTCCTACCACTTGCCTCTGGGCCCATGGACCCTGAACTCCAGCCTACAGCAATGTTTCTCATCTCCTGGACTGCTCCCATCAGTGTACCCACAAGCTATGTCTCCCATTATTATTATTTTTTTAATAATTTTTCTTTATTGATTTTAGAGAGAGAGGAAGTGAGAGGGAGAGAGAGAGATATCAATGAGAGAACATCGACTGGCCGCCTCCTGCATGACCCCCACTGGGGATCAGGCCCACAACCTGGGCATGTGCCTTGACCGCCTGGGAATCAAACCCTTGACCTCTTGGTGCATGGGTCAACGCTCAATCACTGAGCCACACCAGCTGGGCAATGTCTCCCATCTTTAAAAGAAAAACAAACCTTCATCCCTCCAGCTACAGCCTAGTTCTCTCCACCCCTCTGCATTAAAGCAACTCAAAACTGCTGTCAATACCCAACCCCTTCCACCTCAGAACTGGCAACCAGGTCCTCCTCCCCCAGCCCCACTCATGGCCTTTTGCTTTCTCCATAGTGTGTATCACCTTCTAACCTACTTTAGAATCAGGGTTTCCCAACCTCAGCACTGTTGTGATCTGGGGCTGGACCAGTGTCCAGGGGGCTGTGCCCCGCACTAGAGGGTGTTTAGCAGCATCCCCGGCCCCTACCCACTAGATCCCTCATTCACTGTTTCATCCCAGCTCCTAGATTAAGCCCTGGCACAGAGTACTCAGTAAATGTTATCTTGACTCAACGAAGTCTGGGCGTTCCCTCTGGACAGATCATTAAATCCCCTTTGAAGAGATGAGCGTCCCCTTTAAAATGTAAACAAGTCCTTTTAACAGACAGTTATCCCAGGAAGCCGCGCGTGCCTTTCAGAGGCTGAGCATCCTGCTCTGGAAGAGTCCAGACCCATCTAATCCAATAAAGAGCACCCCTTCCAAAAGGCCAACCACACCCTTCCATCAGGCCCGACTTCCCCTTTAAGAAGGTGCTCCTGCTGCACCCCCATCTCCACCGTTGTTGAGCTAAACTAGGGGCTGCCTTGAAGCCACCTGGGTTCATAAGCCTTTTCCACAAATGTCTGGGACACCGTCTTTTAAGGAGATAACTCATTTTTAGGGGGGTGAAAGAGGGAAGCTCCCGAAGACTGGCGAACCCGCCCCGCCCCTCTAACAGCAGCCCTTTGCCCTTTAAGAGGGCGGAGTCGACCCGGCCCATAAAAGTCGGAGGTGAAGTAGCGCCCTTCCCTTTAAGGCATCCCTTCCGGTTTCACGCTCGCCGCTTCCCCAACGTCTCCGCCCTCCGGTCCCTCCCCCCACCCCACCCCTCCGGTCTCTCACCTGCGGCCCCGACCCGGGGAACGAACGGAGACCCAGAGCCTTCCCGCGGGGGCCGACGGGAAGGCGGGGCCGCGGCGACGGCGGTGCAGGAGTGGGGGCCGGGGAGGGGGGCGGGGGCACGCTCCCTCCCAACGGCCCCCGGCGCGAGGCACCCAACCTTTATCAGCGGCCACTCGCGCACACAAACCCCGACGTCGTCGTCGGTGCGTCACGACGCCACGTGCGCTCCCCCGTCCCTGCCCCGCCCGTTGGCCTCTGGCCGCCACGGCGCTCCCCCGGCTTCCAGGGCGCGGGGCATCCTGGGAGTTGTAGTTCTCCCCGGAGGCCGACCGTCGGGTTCTGGCGGCGGTCGTGGGGGGTCAGCTCAAAGCCGGGAAACGCGGGGTCTGGATGTGGGAACGCACGTTCCCTTTTGCTAGTATTTTTTATTTTTATTTTAGAGAATGGATGGTTTTTATTGGCGTGGATCCCTTTATTAGTCTTGACTCTTGGTCTGCGATAGAGACCCTCTCCGGTGGTGCGGCTCCAGCAGGCCTCGCCCACCAGGGGTGTGGTCACTTGTGGCCTGGTCCCCACGCCCAGGCCCTGGGGCTCCCTTTCCTGAGCCTGAACCGAGCGCAGGGGTCGCTGCCCGTGGAGGTCACACGTGCACACGTACAGTTGTGTGGGAGCCGGGCCCTGCATTGCTCAGAGCACGGGGACCGAGCCTTCTCCCTGCTTTCCACGCTCAGTCCCTGCCGGCCTGGGCCTTCCAGCCACGCTGGCTTCTCTGCAGGTCATGCAACACAGGGTTTCTCGACCAGGGCGTTAGTGACATTCGGCTTGATCTGCCTTTGCTGTGCGTTGTACGGTGGTCAGCAGCATCCCTGGCCTCCACTCAGAAGGGCCAAGAGCACCCCCTCTCCGCCGCTCCCCCGCCCCACGCCTTAGGACAGCTGTCTCCAGACGTGGCCACCTGGCCTCTGGTGACAACCACTGCTCCAAGGCCTCCCCTTCAGCCAGAGGGCCACTCCACATGCTGTTGCTTAGACCAGAAGGCACTACCAGAAAGCCCTCTATGTTAGGTGGGTGTCCCATTACATGCTCAGTGGCACTCATCTGTGTTTCATGACAGCAGGGGAAAGTCTGTCTTTGCCACCAACAACCAGTAAGGGGCCTGGTCAGAAGCAGGAGGTACTCTGCTAAATGAGTGTTCTGTTTTGTTTTTTTAATCCTCACCCGAAGACATTTTTCCATTTTTTGTTCAGATAGAGTGGGAGGGGGAGAGAGAGAAAAACATCGGTGGGTCCTGGGGACAAACTGCAACTGAGGTACGTGCCCTCAGTGGGAACTGAACCTGGGTCTCTCTGGACCGCAGGCTGACGCTTTAACTGCGGAGCCAAACCTGCCAGGGCTGAATGAGTGCGTTTTTACAGCTCCTACTTCCCCCACCAGAAAGGAGGGTGCTGGAGGCACTGGGAGGGGCAACCTGAGCTACTGAGGGGTGAAGAGGGCAAGTCAGGAGAGGCAGGCACCAGAGGTAGAGCTGGGAGGTAGACCCCTGCCCCCTGGGGTCCAACCCCACCAGCATCTGAGGCTGCCCAACACACTAGGCCCTGACCCCTAAAGTTGCCTCCCAGATGGAGGGAGGACCCCAAGCCCCATAGGGGTGTGGATGTGGAATGTGCTGCCCAGTTGGCTATGGGCAGGGGTGGCCCAGAGCTACGTAGCCCGCACCCACCCCTTGCCTCAGGCCACTGGGGACCCTGCAGTAGTGAAAGGAGCCCCAGCCAACTCCCTTTTACCTGCTCATCCCAGGTGTTTTGGGGGAGGTAAGAGAGGCAAAGTCCCAGCCCTTGTTACGCCCGTTAAGCCAATTCTCTTAGCCACTTCGTGTACTGCATAGGTGATATGTCCCCAGCTTCTGGGATTGTCCAGCTCCAAGGGAGCCCAGCCAGGACCAGATTCTGTGCCCTGCCTCTTGGATCACAGGGTGGGTAGGTCCCATTCACGTGCCCCCACCCATGCTCCTGGCCCCTAGGTACTCGAACCCCTGAATCCACCTCCCTTCCCTCTGCAGTGGATGTTTGATTCTGGTTTGGGACACTGTTGCCTTGGTGAGGGCACAGCCTGCGGTCACTAAAGAAGAGGGGTGCCCAGAGGAAGTATCTGGGGCCAGAAACTAAAAATAAAATATCCTTTTTCACACAAGAGTAGTAGAGAGAGCAGAGATGTACTTGAAGCAAGGGTGGGCAAGGGCAAGAGAGTCCTGAGTTATGCTGCCAGCCACCCCAGGGGAAGGGAACCTTGGGGCCAGCCCCCCATAGGCTGAAGGTGCACCTTTCTGATATCTCTGGGGCTCCCAAGCCTCTCCACATGGAAGGGGTGTCATCCCCAGTTCACTGGGTAAATAGAGGCCTTCTGAAATCTCTCTGCCAGGCACAGAGCCAGGAAATAATGCAACTTCCTGTAACCAGGAAGCCATGTCAATGGGAGAGTAACCCACTCCAGAGCCAGCCCCCATGCAAGGCTTCTCTGGTGGGTCTCACATACACGCATGGTCAAGGGCCCATGGAGCTGCCCGGGCACGGAGTCGGAGGAGCACAGTTCACAGGGAACACAGGCCCCTCTGTTTTAAGTACAAAAACGTGGCCACAGACAAGACACACACCAAATCTCCTCCCCAAGAATGGCCCCCACCTTCTATGCTGCTCCCCAGTGGGCTGTGCCCTAGTATAACGAATGCCTTTTCTTCAGCTGGGCAGGCCCGTGGTACCATGGCCATCCCTCCTGCAGCAGGTTATGTTCTACGACACAGGTGAAGGGATCTTGGCAGGTGCAGTCGAGGCTCCTACTCAGTTGACCTTGATTGATCTCAAAGAAATGCAGCGCTTCGTTTTATGTGTCAACCTGGCTGGGCCGCAGGATGGCCAGGTTTCTGGTTAAACATGATTTCTGGGTGTTTCCGGAAGAGTTTAGCATTTGAGTTGGTGGACTGAGTAAAGCACTATTGTGGGTGGGCCTCATCTGAGCAGGCGAGGGTGCAAGTAGAACAAAAAGGTGGGGAAGGTTGAATTCATTCTCTGCCTGACTACTTGAGCAGGGACGTTGATCTCTGCCTGTCCTTGGCGCTCCTGAGGGCTCAGGCCTTCAGACCTGGACTGCGGTCTACACAGTGGGCAATCTGGTTCTCAGGCCTTGGAACTACACCACTGGCTGACCTGG